CCAATGTTATCCTTGCTTTTTTCTGACTCTCTACATATCTGAAAAAGGATTTTTTGTTATCCTTGATATGTAAAGCCAGATGGAGCTCAGCTGCAACCTTGGCTTTCCTGATCCACTCCCTGCAGGTACGGACCAGTGCTGAGTACTCCTCCATGGTGGTAATTCCATCCTTCCATCTTTATTAAGTCTCTCTTTTGAGGCATAGGAGGGTCTCAAGTTCCTGGCTGAGCCAAGGGAGTTTCTCTGCCCTTTTGCTACCCTTCTGCTGAGATGGGATGGCCATCCCTTGTGCTGTTAGGATCGCTCCCTTGAGGAGCAACCACTCCTCTTGGACTCCTCTGCCTGCCAAGTCGTGGGCCCTTAGGGCCTCAACAATGAGACTCCTGAGCTTATCAAAGTCAGCTTTCCTGAAGTTGAGGACTTCTGTATTGCTGACTGACTTGCCAGCTTTGTGAAGGATAGTAAAGGTGATCAGCTCATGGTCACTATCGCCCAGCTTTCCATTAATTCTTAGGTGACTGACTAGGCCATCCTCTTTGGCCAGTACCAGGTCCAGTAACGCTTTATGTCTCATCAGCACATATCCTGGTTCCTTGCTTTCTTTTCCTAATACTTTCTATATATGCTTAGTTTTAGCCATGATATGATATATATCTTCAGTTAAAAAATACAAATGGGAAGAAAACACTTTGCTAATCTCATTTCAGATATAAATTATGGGTCAATTCCTTGACTTACATAAAGGAGTCTAGCTCTATTGACTTTCAATTTACATCAGTTGAGGATAAGGTCTGACAACTCTAGCTGTGAAATGATAAATCTAGCTGTGAAACATTCCAAGTAAAACTTTGCTTCCTGTTGTTCATAAGCTTTCTTTATTTTTTTGATAGCTTTTATTTATTTTTCTTTCAAATATCAATTTGCAGTCATTTTGTAGAACAAAGGATTCTAAACATTAAGAATCTAAAAATTAGATGCCGCAACTTTATGTGAAATGATCACAGAAGGAGCCAAAATACACAAACAGTTCTTGGACAGGGGACCAGAACTCAGATTCCCCCCTCCCCCAGGTGACTCTCCTACTTACTTGGCTACAAGATCATATTTTCTCATAGGCACCCTGTCAATTTTACTCTCACCCCAGAAATCTTGAACTCCTATCAAACAGTAATGCAATTTTAACAAGAAACAACTTCAGGGTGGGGTATTTCTCACCCTCACTCCTGAATAGTTTTTAGCCTGATGATTAAGGCGCTCTCCAGAGTGACAGAGGATGTAGGGTTGTGATGTGAGGCTAAGAAGGAAATTGAACATAGGTGTCCCACTTCTTGGTCAAGTGCTTTCTCCATTCGACTATCATATAAAGGAGGATACCACCATCTGTTCCTCTTCTAACCATACTTTTAAAGAAAGCAGCACCTACCATAATATTTTGTGAGGATACTGAACCTTTTGGTGTATGTTAGGTAGTCTCTGAGGATAACTACTTATAAACTCATCGGGGCAGAAATGCGTGGTTTGTAGATGTTGATTGGGTTTTAATGTGATATTGGCACTAAGCTGCCAAGTCCTGGCATGATGGGTATTCACAAAGACAGAACAGTACCACTTTCAAATTCAGGATAACTTTCAGGTCAAAAGTAATGTGTTAATGAAGTTTTAGTACCTCCAAGGGTTTCCTAGAATTAAAATATTGGATTTTCTTATCTAGATTACACTAATAGGCAGCCTTACTTCAGGTGCCTATATCCTTTACTGGCTCTGGCCCTTATTTCTTGTAAAAGACTGATCATTCTGAATAGTGAAAACCTTTTGCCACAGAAGAGGATGAATTTTCAGCAGTACAAACTTCACCATGTCTCAGTAATAGACATCAGGTCTACATGTTGAACAGGGTCTATACCTCTTACCCTTGTACTAAGATTGTCAATAAAGTTGAGGAATAAGAATTGTTGTCAGGTGAGTTTGGATCTCTCTACCTGAGGAATGAAGCTACAGAACAGCTACTGCTGGCATGAGCCATATTTAAACTATTGATGCAAATAAGAAAAGCTCTGTATATCATCAGCAAGCCTGCAACCATCAAATGTCCTTGGATCATACATTTTCTTACACTAAAATGTTCGTTTCTTTGCATTAGATCAGCAATTCTCAACTAGGGTGCTTTAGTTAAAGCACCCCACCACCATTTTGAAGCATGGGAACACTGGATACATGTGATGGGAAGGCTGCTTAGCATGCTCCAACAGATTCGATTAATCAAGTCTGCTCTGATGCTTACTAATTAGCAGATGCCCAGCATGTGTATATGTGCCCATAGTTTTTAAATAGAAATCCATAGTGTCTGAAATACTCTGACCTGTTGTGGCCTTTCTGAGTTCTTTGCAACAGAAAAATTGCTCTGTAATTTTTCCATAGTCAAAAAATAAGTGAAAAGGAAGAAATGGCATTTTTCAAGGGTGCTTTGAGTTTAACTGAAGAGTCCCTTTAGTCTAGAAAGACAGAAAACCATGGCATTAGATGCATATCTCAGGAAGATGATGCAGTATTTAAAAGTCATCTGTAATGGGTGGGGTGATGCTTCTGGATTTTGTATTACTGAGACAAATGGTAAAGTTTTTGCTGTGCCTTGCCTCCAGCAGCATATGGTCCTATCCCATCCAGTAGTCCTCACTTTTGGCATGATGTTCACCAGGGAACGAAAAGAGTGCAAGGTTCCTGCAAAATCACAACCCCACCTCAAGTGCGGGATGAAAGTGAATGTGGCCTTTCATCTTCAGCTTTTTGTTGCAAGTTTTAGATTAGCTAAGCCACAGAAAATAGGATTTATGTCCTGTTTCCATATGAGCAGCAGGGATAGAGAGGGATCAATAGTTTTCAAAAGTTCCTTATATGGTCAATATAGCCTGGATTCCCAAGTCTAAATTACTTTTGAAAATGAAACTTCAGTGCCTAAATCACAGACACTTGTGAAAATTGTAAACTTTTAGCTTGGTGAGCCTTACATTTCAGTGTTTTATTATACCTTGGACGAAGGAATGTGAGAGCTGCTCAAAACCATTCATTAGGCACCACAGATTAAACACCTACTGATGCAATACAGGACTTTCTAACCCCTCCTCAAGCATGAAAGGCTCTTTGATAGGATAAAGTCAGACTGTCACAAAATGGATGTTGTACAAGTCAAACATGTTTAAACCATTGTCTTGAATGATATTACAATATCTGCAGGCTTCTGGCTGCCAGCGGCTTTTATTTTAATGTTGCCTTGGAAAGTATATAGTACTGAGACTAGGCCATTAGCAACTCAATTTATTAAGAAATTTATGCTTAACAAAGAGTTCACTGGTTTGCTGGAGATGAGGAGCTTGAGTCTAACTGTCTTTATGCTGATGACACTTCACAAAAATTTCTGTATTACATCAGAATTCAAGGGGCCACAAGGCTTAAATTCATGGCTTTGTGCGCCAGCCCCTCTTGTTCACCAGCTCAGGAGTACCCTCTGGCCCATGCACATAGCTGTCATTAAAATTAAGAAGAACTGTTCCTCAGGAAGGACTTCATTTTAGATGCTGGCTAAATGATAATGAAAATACATATGTCTGCAATATGACTTAACAGCCAGTTAGAAATTACTATTCAGTTGATACATCAACTTAATAATTTTATACATTTACAATATCAGCAGAGTATGTGTACAGAACTGGGATGGACCATAAGAGACTGGTTTGTGGAGTGTGATAACTATACGAGAGTCACTGGGTTCAGTCCTGCCTCTGCTACTGATTTTGCCACTGATTTTGGCATGCCACCTCTCATTTTCATGCCTCAATTTCCCTCTATAGCAACAGCTACAAGACAGTTGTGCAAGTGCTAATTTTTATTATGTATTATTTCCATCTCTATAATGTAAAATACGACATAACACTGGGTGCATCTACATTCATTAATGTTCCTTAGTTACTGCGCATTTAGTTTAGTACCTGCTTAATGAAATACTAACTAAATGCACAGTAACTAGAGTTACTGCATAGTAACAGTGGTGCATGGTTATTTTGTGACACTTACTGTGCACTAACCTAATAACACTCCGCAGTAGGCTATTAGCACAGTTTTTAACCACTACACTACTGCACAGTGTTTTTAGATTAATGTGCAATAGCATCTCGTGTAGATGTGCATATAATCTAAAATATTATAGGAGCAGACTAATAAATACAGATACATGGCTTTTGAGGGCTGCAATTGGGCTACTACAAGGCAAGCGGGATGGGTAGGAATCATGAGTGGTTACACTCTAAACCAAGGGTTCATGGCTATAAATACATATATATTCATAGTGTAAAACTGGGTTTGTTAGACTCAGGGAACCCATCAGAGAAATGTTAGCTCTTAGCTTTCACTTATTTCTTAACTATGGAAAAATAATAGAGCAGTTCTTCTTTGGCAAAAACCTCAAGAAGATAACAAAGAGGCTAGAATGTTTTTGACACTATGAATTCCTATTTGAAATTTCAAGGTAAATCATGTTTTTGCACACCTAACAGTGCTAATATTTTGTGGTTCTCTGCTTTATCCTCAAAAGGATCTCATGGCACCAGAGGACACCATGGCACCCTGATTGAGAATCACTCGTCTGAATCTGGTAAGCTTGTGGCCAGAAGCGCACACAGTTCCTACTTCTGCTAAGTTTCAGATTCCCAACTGCTGGCTCATGCAGCTATTATCTTAGTTATTACCTTTTTATATATATCCAGAAATCTAAGTTAAATTAAAACATCTATAATTTTGAAAGCCAATAAGCAGTCCGTGAAAAGGCTGTGCAACACAAGTGATCCTAAACTCCTTTTTACAGTTATTATCATTCTAATTTGCATCAACTGCTGCAAACAGTGAAACTGTTATTACCAGGCTAATATAAGCTTAGTATTCTCAAACTTTGACAGGTCCATTTTTGGCTTAATGTCACTAAGTTTTTTTCTTTTGTCCCTTTCTACCAAAAAGGGGTTTTAATTCCTTGTGGTGGACAATAGAATTTTTCAGATTGGTTGGCTCTGCCCTTGCAATGTCAAACAGAGTGGGCTAAAATAACAGCAAATTATCTTAATGCAGGCTCACAAACTTAAGAGTATTTTTAACCTATACGTTGATACTTATTCCCTATTCTTGTTTTTCTCAAGGACTTGCAGGTCTATTCAGGATATTGGAACACATCTAACACTAAACGTACTGTCTCATTTTTTAAAAGTGTAAATAGTGTTCCTATTTATTGCAATTCAAAAATAGGTAAATAGTTCTAGTGATAGTTACTGTTGTGATCACCAGGTTCAATAAACACAGGCATATGTGAATGAGAAAAACTAAGGAATTAACTTTATTGTAAAGTCACAGGCAATATCTCTAGACCTTTGGTCTTTCTCTAAATAAATGATTACATAACTGAGGGTCCATCTCTCAAATACCAACTTTTTCAGCCTCCATAGTTAGAGAGCATCTTTAAATTACAGCTAATATCACTAGTTACAAAACGCTGTTTACAAAAAGCCATGCCTCCAAGTGCCATAGGTAGTGCCATAGGCAGACGAGGTTCTTTGTGTGAATCTGATATCTTTTATTAGACCAACTTAAATAGTTGGGAAAAAAAACTTAAGCAAGCTTTCAGGTTTAAACATCCTTCATCAGGCTGAGGAAGTTTCTGCAGTTGGTGTGTGTGTGTGTGTGCTGTTTCCAGATAGAATGAAAAGTAAAGAAGCCAGAGGCTGGGCATGCAAGACAGGCAATCAGTGAAGATGTAAACTGAGGAGTCAGTGCATGAGAGACAGGCTGGGTGTGTGGGAGAAGGGGGACGAATGTAGCAGTTAAATAGAGGACAGGTACCTGGGGAGTCAGATGTCAAGCAGGTTGTAATGTGTCATAAACCCAATGTCTATAGGTAGTGCCATTAGCTAAGCAGTGTACCACACTGCTAGTTGGCAAAGTGGCACTTGGCACCCCAACAAAGGAACACTAACAGCGTTCTGTGGGGGCCGTGAACATGCAGCTGTAACGCAGCTGTGCATTTGCAATTAAAACACACACATACATACAAAACCGTAAAGCTGAACAAGATGCAAAGGCTGGAAGTTGAAACTAGTTCAAATTGGAAGGGAAAGGAATGAACAGTTGTCTAGGGAAAAGTAGATTAATTGTTACTTGGAGTCCTTGAGGTTTGGATTTTCCACAAGCTATTAACATGAGACTGGGGAATCCATTTTCCTTAAAATTCCTTTGAAAAATTCAGTTTAACAGTAGACTGCACGCCTTTCTGTAAGATATAATTTAGTTGCTGGTTTTGGTTTTGTTCACTAGCGTAGTGGAGAATAATTTCTTCCACTGCAGGAAAGCCTGGATGAAATCTTTTTGCTTGTTTTATGTAGCAAGTGAAATCAGATGATTAGAATGTTCCCTTTTGGCTATAAAAACCTATGCCTCTTCTATAAGAAATTCACTGGTGAACTGCAAAACAGTAAGAGTGCTGCTTCTTTTCGTTATGCTTTGGCAACTGCAACACCAACATGCATGAGTCTTTCAGACATTTATATCTAGCTTGTGCCTCTTGGTACAGCCTTGATAAATGAATAGTGCCCATCTGCACCTCCTCAGGAAGAGCTGCAAAGAATCACAAGTCCTGGTCTCCTCCTGACATACCAGTGATACCAGTAATTTCCTATGCTACTTTGCCTAGTGGACCATGCTCACTGCTGTCCCCCTTCAGGTAAGACATACCTGGTGAGCAGTCCAGTGCATGGTTAAAGGGATAGGATCAATGCCATGTCCCCAGCCACTTCTTTTTGTGTTTTTTTGCTTTTCTTAGAAATAATGGCTCATGACCCCTCTCTGATCTTGCTCTGCACTCAGAGCCAAGATGTGAGGAAGCTTCTCAGAGATATGGGGGGAAAGGTCTTACTTCCCCTTACAGCACTCTCTGTTAGAGTCAGCCACAGACTGGCTGTCTGCAGACTCAGCTGCAGGGACACGTTCTTCCAAGGAACATCTGCATTATGGTAGCCAAAGACGGAGCAGAAGTCATTTGTGATTTAATCTCTCCAGGTCTCCTCTGGACCAGCCATCCTGCCATGCTTTTTACAGTGAAATGATACAAGATTCAGATTTTTAAAAATCTAACTGGATTTGGTTACTAGAGATTTTTGTACAAATTACAGTCTCTCTCTTGCTCTCTTTTAAATCAATCAGTAGAAACACCATTCTTTTCATTAAAAAAGGGTAAAAACGGATGCCTCCAGATCTTTTTGTTGAATCTGGCTCCTTCTCAAAGGATGCCTGCAGGCTGTGGAAGCTTGTTTTAAAAAGCCATGCAGCTTTAGTTTTCATGCCACATGCTTCACAGTGCACCGTGGGATACTTTTACAAAGAGTTACACAAGGTTTTTTTTAACCATTCAGTTTCCAGGAAAGTCAGCAGGAATTACATGGAAGAAAACAACTTTGAAAATATGCCTGACGTTATGGCCAACTAATCTTTTCATTCTGCTCTCATCAGCAAGAGAACAAAAAGAGAGTTATATGTCATTTACATCATGAATCAACCTTTGGTGAAAAGTATTCTAAAATGCCCCAGACTGATATGCGCAGCCAGTCTTTTATAATAACCTTAGCTTTGTGCTTTTAAAAACTCATTTCTGGTATTTGTAGTATATATCCCAAGCCCTCAGACCTCCTCCTTGCTATTTCCAGTGTTATCACATTCTGTCACCAATATTAATACCAGGAAACATAATAACTGGCAGCAAAGCACAGTGATGCATTTGATGCTTTAGAAATAATGAAATGTCACTCCCATTACAAAACAATGTGGCATTTAATGATTTAATGGGGCTATGCAAAGTTTATTTACATTATTATTCCACCATAATGATTTTGCTGGCAGTCAAAGCTGCCAAAAATATCGTTGAATGTTAATTTAGATGAACTTTAAAGGCAGCCACATAGGGAGCGACCTGAAATCAAAGCTCTTGGTCTTAGCCTTCAAAGGAGACTGCCCCTGAGGGTGTTATTAGAATCCTCATTTAACCTTGCAGGTTTCATTTCTGGGAGGAGAACAAAAAGAGAAAGACCCCACACCTGACAGGAGCTTGTGTCACACTACATAAGAAAAAATCACTGTAGCAATTAGCTGGCACGGAAAAAAGCACCGGATTTAGATATTAGTAACAATGTTAATTAAATATCAGGTTTGGAAAGAAGATGTTAGGTGGAAAAGATCAATGAATAATAAGGTTTTTCCCCCACCCATGATATTTTTAATGAATTCTACTCAACTTTTTCAAACAGCACTGTTGAATATTAGCATATTTATTCATATGCCACATGCACCTTTCCCCAAAAGATTAATCTACTAAACTTGGGGTGAGCAGCTTAAAATGAAGAAGCTGATTCTCTTTCCAAAATAAGCATTCCACTTTGATTCTTTCTCCACTCGAAGTTTAAAATCAACTCCCCAGTAACAGCAGTGGCATTTCTATTCAGGCAGGGGAGGAAATCAATTGCTTAATGGCTCATTGATCTCAATGCCACAGGTGCTAATGAACGTCTCTCCTTTTTAACGGCCTTTATAGGAGTCCTTACATTTGCTCCAGGGTGTGTATGGAGGGGTGCTTTAATTAAAGTGCTCACACCATCTCCTGTATTCAGTGTCCTGCGCTTCAAAATGATGGTGGGAGTGCCTTAACTAAAACTTGTTCTACAAACTTTAGTTAAAGCGCACCTGCCATCATTTTGAAGCACAGGGATACTGAATACACACTGAGGCTACTGGAGTGTTCTAATTAGCACACTCCATCAGACCCAATTAAACAAGTCACTCCCTATGTGGCTGCCTTAAAAGCTCATCTATGTGTGAGAAAATATGATAGTACTTCTAACTCCACCATTCCTGCAGTTTTTGATTGAAGGTCCTAAGAATCAGTCCCTGTGATGCTTTACAGAGATGAGTTGTTTTCATATAGCAAGAAGTAATCCTTGTTATTACTAGTATTATTATTATTATTATTATTATTATTATTTGTTTTTGGTTACTATGAAAGGCCCCATATCAGGGTTGAAACCATATTGGTTTGGCACTACAAACAATAAATAAGAAAGGCAGTTCCTGTTGCAGAACGTACTCTGTAAGTGATGAAGTCAGCCAAAGGAAGGGAGTTAACAAAACTACGAACACACACACACACACACACACACTACAATTTTTCTAGGAGAAGGCCTAGGGTGAAAACCTGACTCCACCAAGGTCAAACTGCACTTTTGCCTGCATTTTTCACCCCGCTGTGCCTTAACACACATACACGTGACACGAGTTTTGCTTTCAAGACTTTGAGGTACAGTTTCCCAGAAACCCCAGCACCCATCTCCTTGAAACTAGGTTTCATGGCCTCAGAAGGAGCTACCATCCTGGAAAGTTTCAACCGAATCAGTCAAGAAATGACAAAGTTACAGGCAATTTCATGATTCCCCATTATAGCCTGTGGGCGAAATGTCAAAACAGCGTTGAAACAGTGAAACAGTTCTGATGAAATGAAACGGAGCAGTGCTTTGAAATCAAACAAAATTCAAAACAAAATACTGTCCCATCAAAATGGCAAAACAGAAGTTGAAATGAAACAGTACTGTTTTGCACAGCCCTAATTTCTTTTTTTAGTCTACATGGAAATGTACAATATACAGAGAAGTAAGTGGATATGTCGTGCATATGTAGAAGTTGGAACTCACCTGAATATCCATTTTTACAGTGATGAGCATAGTAAACTACCTACTGCTAACAGGAGAACAAGTGGTTTCAGAATAAATAGTTAATACTTCATCTACATATATGCTATTTACAACAAATGAATAAATTCAGCTATAATGCCTTGAAATAGTGCACCGTGGGGATTGATTCTGCACTACAGATGTCAGTTGGATCTTTGCCACTAAATTCAATGGGAGAGGATCCGAACCTTAGTGAATGCATATTTAGACTCTGAAACAGAAAACACATTTATGTTGGAAGAATTCCAGTCAACCCATCCATGCAGAACCAGCTGCAGGTCCCGATTCAGTTGGAATTTGTTCTTAAATTACATGAAAAACAATGGGACTTAAACATGAAAGTTAGTCCTTTGTTGAATAAGAAGGGATTTAGGTATATACTGAAGGGCAACTTTCTTTTCTTTTGGACAATTTGAAAAGATTTCACTTTGAATTTGAAACAATTTTTTAGATCAAATTGGGCTAAATTTTAAAAAGAGCTTAAAAAAGAACCCTGAAAAGGAAGCATTAAGTGTTGAATTAAATGCTTTGTTCAGGCTGAAACAGGTTTGTGGGGTGCAGGAGAGTTATGCTGGAAAGAAAAAACAATATTTGTGTCTGAAGTCAGCCTAGAATGATTTTTTTTCTTTTTAAAGCCTGAGCAACAGACAGAAAAGTGAAATATTTGCAGAGCTCTACCCCAGTTGCAATTGGCTCTGTAACATAAATAAAATGAAGGGGCACTTATAATAATCATTTACAACCCTATTTTATCCAGGCTTTTATCCACTAGTGTTTCAATTTCATGCCGTAATCACCTTACACCGCTAAACTATTGTACAAATCAGGCAGATTTGCTAATAATTCTTTTTATTTCTCTAACTTAGATCCCAATTAGTACCATCGTACCATTAAAAAGAATTATTAGGTTTATGTCTCTCCAGAAAATGAAAACCAAACAAAACAAGGCACATGAATCTGGAATTGTTTATACATTATTGTATAAATAAGGCCAAAAAGACAAAACTGTAGCACTGCAGTATAGGCATCTGAAACAGACAAATAAATGCATCACATATATAGACAAATATCCATATACTTAATAAATTATTTTAAAGGGTTGCCAGACGCCTTGGTTGGTGAGCTAATTAACTTAACAGAAGGATAAAAATCAGGTTAAAAATCTGCTTTTCCCTGCTGTCGTCATTAGGGCTGTGTAGTAAAACATGCTGCTGTTCTATAGAAACCCTTCCTCATCTAATGTCAAAATTGAATGATATATAGTAAAAGAAGCAAGGGAACACAGGAAAACAGGACAATTTCAAAAGTAAGAAAGTTCAAAATTGGCTTTAATTCCTGCCTCTGCTTTCACTGCTGGTAACTTATTTTTTGCTCTTTATTTTGAAGAATGCTTGACTTGAAACTGTGGGGTGAGATGTGATGCAGTGCTGAGCATTCCCAGCTGCAACTGAAATCAGTGGGAACTGTGCTTGGAATAGATGAAGGGCTGCAAAATACTAAGTTTCCTTCAACTTAAAATGACTGGGTTTGGTTTTTGCTTTTTTCCAGGATGCCAAAAATTCCTGAAAAAAATAAGTTTCAGGTCAAGCCAAAGCACATTTAAAATATATTTTTGGTTCATCTGTTGAGCTACAAATTCAATGAGTCATAATTGCCAGCCGGTGATCAGCTAAGTACTCATACCTAGCTAGTATACTAATGGGCCATCTTTGCACTCAGATGCATTTCTGAAATCAGTAGGTATCTGCAGATGTAACTCAAGGCAGGATGTTGCAGTTAGAATGAGGAATGTATTCTCTTTCCAAAAAAATAATGTACTTGATGATGCTTAGGGTATGAAAAAAAAGACTTTGTTTGTATCACATTTAGCACAACCATAGGGATTAAGGATCTCCAGTTTTATGCCTGCAATGTTCCTCTGAGTTCAGCAGACCTACAGTGGTGCAGACCTGCAATGCAATGATGGATTAGACTCATAAATTATAAGTGTGAGTATATTAGCATGTGTAAAATATGTAATTGTTAACCAGCATATCATGCTAGGTTGCCACTGGATTTAAACATTGTAATTATATCAAAGACATATAATTTACAGAAGTGAATTTTGCTTATAAAATTGTATTTTATAGTACAGAGCAGGGACCATTTGGGGTTGAGCTACCAAGAGAGATGAAAACAGGCAAATAATTATCCGGGTTCAACAGTGGCATTGGCAGAGTCTAAGTACAGCATGGTTGTAAGACACACTAGTCTCATTTTTAAAAGTAAAACTGTCTGTTCCAAAAAGGAGTGCAACCAGATGTGGTGAAGAAGCAGAAAGTGAGACTGACAAGAGTATCAGCAAGTTTGTAAGTATTTCCATCTTACTGCATTTCATAACAGTCCATTTTCCTTGGGACTATTTGTAAATGAAACAAATTCATTTGCAAAATGAGCACAGTTGGAGGGGGGACTGATTTTGAAAATCAATAATAAAAAAGAACACCTTGAGAAGAGTGAACATGTTACATTTTTTCAATGAAAATTTTGGGTAAGTATTTTGAAAAATGGGTTTTTAATTTAAATGTATTTATAAAAAGAATCAAAATTCAAAAAAGCCAACTTTTAGTTAAAATACTTATGTTCAAAATATTATAATTGACTCTCAGTAAAATACTGAATTGTTCATAGGAACATAAGAATTGTCATTTAGTGGGTCAGACCATAGGTCCGTCTTGCCCAGTATCCTGTGTCACACAGGGGCAGGAAATAGATGCTGAAAGGGAGAGTGGACTGGGTACGATCAGGGTTTTTTCCACTGTTCCTCTCTCACTTGCAGCCTCCAGAATTTAAGGTCTAGGAAGTTCTGGTTCAGTGACTGTGTCCCTAACTCTTGTACTCAATAGCTACTTATGCCCCTTGACTCCAAGAATTTGTCCAATCCTTTTGTGAATCGGCTAAAATCTGGTTCATACTCTTAGACTTTCTACATAGATTAACTTCAGCTACAAAATACTATGTGATAGTTTTATTTACTTAATTGTAACTATCCCAAAAATGAAAGCCACTGCAACCAGGAAGAAATTCCTTTTTAGACAGAAGCACAAATAAAAATGCAGTAGTGCATGGGGTTCAAACATACATATAAACAAATCCCCTTGCAATCCCTTACTGCTGGAATACACATTTAAATGAATACCACCAAATACCATTATCTATTTATTTGTATGTATCTGTCTCCCTTAACTGAATGCACATCTCTGATTCCCAATTAGCACATTCAAAGACAGATCAAAGGCCATGTTACCAGCTGGTGGAAACATCCACTTTCGTTTACACCAGCTGAAAATCTGGCCCCAAATATGCTGTTTTCTAGCCATGTTCTCAATACCTTTCATGAAATATTGTGAAATCCTTTAAAAGCCTGTAGACTTTTATATTCTCATTATGCTGTACCACGGGTGTTAAGTTCTGAAAGATTCACTAATGGAACCCATAATTACCATTTGACATATAAAATGAACTCTACAAGGACCGTTAAAGCACAGCTCCCTGACCTCAAGTTTGTAAGAGCTTAAAGGAAAAGATCAAGCTGCAGCTTTTCCTGCTCCTTATCCAGAAACTGAAACAAATTCACTGGGGATAAAATTTACTTGTGCTCTAGGTCTGTGAACCATGTAAATCTTTAAAATATAGTGTAAGAAGTACTAATGTGCGGCTAATGTGGCAACGTTCTTTGAGCAGATGTGCTATCTT